TGACTGCACAAAAGTACATCAACAAGAATGGAGATTTCTCATTGGATGTTTGCGTCAAAACATCAACCATAACTCGTGGGCTAGCCTACTCGCTAGCTACAGGGAACTGGGGAGACCAGAAAAAAGCGCATCAGTCAAGAGCTGGTGTGTCACAGGTTGGACATTACCGTTTATGGCACTGAGATCCTATTCTCGTATTAGTTTCCATATGTCACCAGACTTAAAATTTCGCCACAGATTCTTCATTGTAAAAGCATTTTTGGATTGTTGTAAGACCACGAATTTGATTTGTTGTTTTTACAGGTGTTGAATCGCTTGACCTACACTGCTACACTTTCTCATTTACGACGAGCAAATTCGCCTATTGGACGAGAAGGAAAGCTGGCAAAGCCTCGTCAACTGCACAACACACAGTGGGGCATGGTATGCAATTAGATGGAGAGAAATCCATCCTGCTGCTAAACACCACTTTGCTTGAGGTGTGTCCTGCTGAAACTCCAGAAGGACAAGCTGTGGGTCTAGTGAAGAATTTGGCGTTGATGGCGTACATTTCTGTCGGTTCACTCCCGGAACCAATCTTAGAGTTCTTGGAAGAATGGTCTATGGAAAATCTCGAAGGTGTGCATCTTATCTACACGTGTTGTTACTCAACTCTAAGCGTGATTGCAGAGGTTGCACCGTCTTCTATTGCCGACGCCACAAAGATCTTCGTAAATGGAGCTTGGGTAGGCATTCATAGAGATCCCGAACATCTCATGACTACGCTGAAGAAGCTTCGCAGGCAAATGGACATCATTGTGTCCGAGGTCAGTGAGGATACATTTTTTTCAGTAATTTCTGACAGTTTTGTTCGATGTTCAGGTATCCATGGTTCGAGATATCCGTGATCGAGAGATTCGAATCTATACCGACGCAGGTCGCGTATGTCGACCTCTTCTTATTGTTGAGAAGCAGAAGCTCGCACTGAAAAAGCGGCATATTGATAAGCTCAAGGTTTGCACTCATTACTTCTTTTTACGAGGTGCTATTCGCCTACAAAGTAGCACTTTCCAGGAGCGCGAATCTGGTAGTAATTACAGTTGGTCAGACCTTGTCGGTGGAGGAGTGGTGGAGCTAATTGACGCTATGGAAGAAGGTAAGTCTGATGATCTTTGCTTTCAGTCATAGAAAAACATATTAATTTCAGAAACCGTCATGTTGGCCATGATGCCAGAGGATCTGAAAGCAGGCGGCTACTGCGACACTTATACCCACTGCGAGATTCATCCAGCAATGATACTTGGAGTTTGCGCATCAATTATTCCATTCCCGGATCACAATCAAAGTCCAAGAAATACATACCAAGTCAGTATCAGGCATCATTTCTTGGTTCATAACCCAAAATTTACGCACAAAGCGCTTTCTTTTCAGAGTGCTATGGGTAAGCAAGCTATGGGTGTGTACACTACGAATTTCCACGTTCGGATGGATACGCTCGCTCATGTCCTGTATTATCCGCAAAAGCCCCTCGTTACAACGAGATCTATGGAATATCTGAGGTGAGGAAGTCAAGCACATACATGTTTTTTT